AAAAAAAAAAAAAAAAAAAAAAAAAAAAAAAAAAAAAAAAAAAAAAAAAAAAAAAAAAAAAAAAAAAAGAAGTGATGAGAATGTGAAAGAAACTGCAGGAAATTTTCAAAAACTGACAGAAAAAGAACAGTATGTGATGTAAGAACTGCAGTATGTGAAGAGTACTTTGTTCTAACTGTGAAAATTAGGTTATATAATAGAGACTATACAGATTATAGCACTAAATTGTAGAGACTGAAATAAAATCAAAATAAAATTTCTGAGAAAATCAGGCTAAAGGCTCAAGTCACTTCCTTTTGTCACTGCTTATATAACTATTTTCACATAGTGTCTATTAACTGCCTTGGTTACTTTTTTTGAGACAGCGTATTGCTCTCTCACTGGGCTGGAGTGCAGATGCGTGATCATGGTTCACTGCAGCCTTGACCTGCCAGGCTCAAGCAATCCCTCCTATCTCAGTCCCCCAAGATAGCTGGAACTACAAGCATGTGCCACCTCACCTAGTTAATTTTTTATTTTTGTAGAGATGGGAGTGGGGGAGGTTTCCCTATGTTGCCTAGGCTGGTCTCGAACTCCGGGAGTCAAGTGATCCTCCTACCTCAAGTCTCCCAGAGTCCTGGGATTATAGGCATGAGCCTCTGTGCCCAGCCAGTTCTTGACTTCTTTAGTGAAAAGGCATTTAACTCAAATGATGGATTCATTCCTTTTGTTGTCAATAAACTACTAAATATTTAGAAGGTAAATATTAATACATGCAAATGTGTAGCACTGGGCATTCTAATATCTTCTTGTTTCCATTATCTAGCTTCAGAAAAATTTTAGTCATCTTTGCAGTCTATCGGAAATATGTCATTCTGCCTTCAATTTTCTTAACAAAATTTCTACTCTGCTAGGTATACTCCTAGTATATAAAGTATAAAATTATCTTCCCATGGAACACTCAAAGATCTTTTACATTGCTTGACACTAAATTTTTTTAGGAATTTGGCTTGAAATGAAGTTTTAAACAGCCATGCTAATATTCCCTTGGATTTTACATACCTTCTTAGTCAAATTATTAGGATTATTAGCCAAATTATTAAAAACCTCAAATACATTACCTCAGACCTTTACATATACCACGTAACACATTCTGCATCTACAAATGCCCACAACTTTTACTGAGGATTTAAGTATGAGTCCCATATAAAGAAAGACCATTTCTATTTTTTTAAATTTCTACCCAAAAAATTGCATTATGCCATTTAATTGCTTTTTCATAAAGAACCATGTTAAGTATTCCTCTTAGTGCTAGCAAAATACTATTAAAACTTTCTCTCCCTAATTAATTGGTATGTTTTCCTTTTATTAGATAGCAATATCCATATTATTCTTGTTTCCTTTTTGCTTTGGTTAGCAAGAAGTTCTGAGCTGGTTGTCTGTTTCGGTATGAGAATTCTTAGCCTACGTCCGCACACTTTGACTCTTAGTAAACTCTGCTCAATTTCATTTGTATCCTATACTGTAAATCACTTCAAATTCTTTGCAGAAAAAGAGTATACATAGCCGGGCGCGGTGGCTCATGCCTGTAATCCCAACACTTTGGGAGGCTGAGGCGGGCAGATCACTTGAAGTTGGGAGTTCAAGACCAGCCTGACCAATGTGGAGAAACCCCGTCTACGAAAAATACAAAATTAGCTGGGTGTGGCACATGCCTGTAATCCCAGCTACTTGGGAGGCTGAGGCAGGAGAATCGCTTTAACCTGGGAGGCAGGGGCTGTGGTGAGCCGAGATGGCACCACTGCACTCCAGCCTGGGCAGCAAGAGCAAAACTCCACCTCAAAAAAAAAAAAAAAAAAAAAAAAAAAAAAAAAAAAAAAAAAAAAGAGTATATAAATAAATGATGTAACTGAAAACAACAGACAAATTATATAAATTAGACTTTATGTTCCTTACTAAACTTGTATTAAATCTAAGTCTGCCCACATGTAACCTGACAGGAGAGTTAAACTAACAAAACAAAACAAAAAAGGGCCGAGCATGGTGGCTCACGCCTGTAATCTCAGCACTTTGGGAGGCCAAGTTGGGCGGATCACCTGAGGTCAGGAGTTCAAGACCAGCCTGGCCAACATGGTGAAACCCTGTCTTTAAAAAACAAGCAAATATATATATATACACATTTTATCTTTAAAAACTGGACTGAAACCAGGGACAGTGGTTCATCCTTGTAATCCCAGCATTTTGGGAGGCTGAGACGGGCATGAGAATTACTTCAACCTGGGAGGTAGAAGTTGTAGTGAGCTGAGATCGTGCCACTGCACTCCCACCTAAAGTGACAGAGTGAGACTCTGCCCACCACCACCCCCCAGCAAAAAAAGATTGTAGTAAAAATAAAAATGGTAAATAGTGTATTGGCTCAGAAATAAAGTTTGAAAAAGGTAGATTATAATTAACCACACTTTTGCCCTTTTCTATTTCACTCTGCCCTTGTTTCTAAGATGCAATGTGGTTTTCTAAACACTGCATTCTCACAGAGGACAGATTCTTAATGTAGTCATCATTCTGAAGCACTAATATAGGAATTACAGGTACACAGCTTTTCCCATCAATCACAGGGCTTGGGTTATTTAGGAATATAAACATTTATCCTCTGCTTTAATTTCAAGACAATGAAGGGGAGGTAAATGAAAATAGATTTATCAGCTAAATAAACCATTAAATCCTTTTTAAGTAAGTATAAAAACTAGGCATTAAGTAAGGGATCCTTAATGTGATAAATTTTTATAAATGCAGATATTTAGATGATGGAAAATGGATGTCTTTGTTATTCTGAGCTGCTCAACACAATTATACTATAATTATCTAAGTGAGGACAGGCCTGCTTCCAAATTTACCTGATGAGAGATGGAAGGTTGCTGGATGGGCCCCTGCATTCTAGGGTTTGGTAAACCCACAGGTGCTGGCCTCCGTTGCACCTGTTGCCTCTGAGCCATTACCTGTTGCTGCATATGCTGGAGCCGTAATTGAGCTAGGCTGATCTGTGTTGGGAACTTGGATAACTGGTTTGATGATAAACCACTTGGTGGCTGTGAATTCTGTTCCACGACAGGATTCTGCTTAGGCATTTGTGGCTGGCTCTCTTTATCCTCGATTACTAAAGAACCTGATTAGAAAGAAAAGGTTAAGAGAAAAAGTTTTTCAGATAGGTGGTGAAATATCACATTTTGTAAGGCTATTTTTGCAGAATGTCAGAATTGTCAAGGAATTCTCTGGTCTCATGAGCCCTTTTACACTCTGAAATATAGAGGATCCCCAAACAGCTTTTGTTCATTTAAGTTCTAGTCACCAAAATTTATAATATTAGAAATAAAAATAATTTTAAAAAGTACTAATTCATTTAAAAATAATAAAACCATAACAACATGTTTTTATAAAACTGTATTATAAAAAATTTGGTAAACAGTGGCATTGTTTGATATTTTAAAAAATCTCTTTGAATGTCTTGCTTAATAGCTGAAATCTCATTATCTGTTTCTGCACTATCATAATATATTGTTAGGTTAAAATATATGAAAAAAATTTCAGTCTCACTGTATGGCAGACAGCACCTGACAGCAATAACTTAAGTGTACCCTGAGAGTGACCTGTGCGGCCTAAGAAGAATGTGTGTTTGGAGTTCTGAGCTAAAGAACCCAGTATTGGCCAATGCGGAGATTCATTCTTTATCAATGAAGAATATCTGAACTCCCAGCCCAGCCTGTGGAATCCAGGCCATATAGGGGATGGAGGCCTTTTATTTTGTGTTAAATGAAGGTTGCCACATGGAGGTTGCTAGGGAGAGGGTGCTAAATGCTATTTAAACGACTTGCTGGTGGTTCTCCCATCCAGACCACTGCCACTGAACTGTCCTATATGTAAGTTCCCTCAATAAACCCTATGTCTCATTCACTGGCTTGAAGTCTCTTCTTGGGCCTCTCAAACACGGCACTATCCCTACGGAAGTCCATAGAGGTCTGGCACAACACTCATTCAGACATGCAGTTGGAAAAGGGTGGCCTTTGTGGTCCCCTGGAAGAGTACCAGACTATATTTTGAGAACTGCTGTCATATATCAAAACAAGCAAATCTGAGACTGGCTCTAAAAACAATCTCATAAGGTACTTCTAAATCTTTATTATTAACAAGTTGTGATCTCTCAAGTTTCCTATACCTTTACAATGCATACATATTATGTTAACTTTTTGATACAGAATATGTTGACTGGCTTAAAAACTAGTTTTAAGAGTTTAATGATGCCTTTGAAAAGTCAGATCCAAGTTTGATTTCAACAGTAGAGACTCAAATGTTTATGATTTACTAAGCAAATGCATTCTAAAAATACAGTTATTCATTAAATGTTTACTGTGTGTAATTCACACTATGACAGGTAGGTATATGTATATATTTAAAAGAAACAATAACATTCTCTTTTACACATAAGGGATCTCAGGTTTAGAGAGACTTTAAAACTTATCCAAAGTCACTCAAGACACTAACAAAATATTCATCTAGATCAATATTGTTCCCTACCACTCTTCTCTGTTTCTCAGAAGCCATGGGTAACAAGTTTAGAAAACTTGTCTCCTTCTTTAGAGATTTACAATGTAAATCTCATTGTACATGAATTTACAGTGCTGTAAATGACAGGAGAAATCCTATAGTAAAATATATTGTTTAACTTTATTTTATCAGTTTCACAAACTATTAGACTAGAAGATCCTGTTTTTGTTTTGGCTCAAGTAGGTTTATCTGAAACTACAACCATTTATGCGTGTACAGTTTTAAACATAATTCTTAAATACACTTATGTCTATATGTGGGTGTGTTTACCTATTGTGATGTAAGTACATACATCCCTACATATATGAGCAACTTGTGTGGATTTATACCTGTGATGGGTTCTGAGTACAGATGAATGTGTGGTGACAGAGTCAAGTGTGGCAACAAGAGTTACTTACACACGTTTTATATTCTAAAGATGCTTCTTTTTGATAAGATGAGTGTGTATAATTCCAGTTTCCTGCTATGTATCAATATACATATGTCTGTATCTAAAGGAGTCTGCAAGGGTCTCCTTATCACCTTTGCTTCCAGGATTCTTTTTGTTCTTCCCTTACATGGGTAAGATTGCCTATTTCCTCTTTTCCTAGTGAGTATGGGCTATTTCTCCAGTCATTTTCTTTTTTTACCCACAATCTAGCATTGGAGATGAGAAACCATCTTTGATGATTCTGAAACAAATACAATAAGCTCCCCCCCACCCAAAAAAGAAATAATCAAAGGTAATATTGATTGCTAATCAACAGACAATGGGTTGCTAAAGGATGGGGATACGTTCTGAGAAATGTGTCATTTAGGCCATTTCATCTTTAGACAAACAGCAGTTTACTTATGTAAAGTATACTGTATAACCTACTACACACCTAGGTTATATGGCATAGCTTACTGCTAGGTAGAATCTAGGCTACAAACCTGTACAGCACGTAATAGTACTGAATTATTTAGATAATACTGTAGGCAATTGTATTGTAACACAATGGTAAATATCTGTGTATCTAAACATACAAAGATATAGTAAAAAAAACCTCAGTATTTATAAGTCATAGATGCAGTTAGTTGATTGAGACATCATTACGCAGTACTTAACTGTTTAAGATTTGGGTACTTGTCAGTATGTATGTTATACTTCAGTTAGTAAGAAATTTACAGAACTGTTACCTGATCAGGCAAAAGAAGAAAATTAAAAGTCTTCCCTAAGCAAGATAAAGGATTGAACCATTAGGTTCCTACTGAATGGTTCTGAAGATAAGCCAATAAAAATAAAGTAGTTTAAAATAAAACTTTCTAGATATCAAAAACCCTTTATCAATGACAAGTCAAGTTAACTCATTCTGATAAATTTAAAGCTAACAGAACAAACCAGATTTGGGGGCGTTGAGGTAACAGGACAGGACACCTAAATTCCTAAGTCTAGAGACCCTGTAATTCAATGTTATAGAATGTTTTCTTATCTGTACATGTATGTGTGTTTATATTTGTATGTATGTGTTACCATATACATACAATACTATCAAAAACAGCATGCCTTTTTAAAACAAAATAATCAAAGCATTTTGAATGTGAGAAAAGACATTTTCTTTAATCCTCCAGTGTCAGCCTTCTAAGTAGCTGGACTACAAGCATGTGCCACTACCCTTGGCTAACTTAGGTGTCTTATGTCGAAATGGGCTCTCCCTGTGTTGCCCAGGCTGGTCTTGAACTCCTGGGCTCAAGTGATCCTTGAGTGATCCCAAAGTGCTGGGATTACAGATGTGAGCCACTGTGCCCAGCCTAAGAGACCATATTTTCAGTAACATGTCATAATCATTGAGAGATCTACAAACAAAGGGCACTCTGAGAAATGTTATGTAATGGCCTACCTAAGTTGATAATATTTTGAGCCCAGAAACTAGGATCACAGTGAAACTGGATGGTGTTGTTGGTGACTGGGGACGCATCACATCTTGCACGAAGGAGGTGCCGCAACCGGTATGTAATCTAGAAGAAAAAGGAGAAACAACCAAATATTAGGAAAATAATTTATTAAGTGCCCAGTAAATACCTAAAAGCAGTCTCTGATATGTACATCAACACACAATAAACAATCATATATAGGTCCAAAGCATGTTAAAAAGTTTTGAGGCATAACTCAGTTAGCTGTACTATTAAACCTATTTTGAAGTGACAGGTTAAAGTCGGTTTTTTGAACAATTAATAAAACTTTGTAGAAGCACTAACTTAAATATTTGTAAAATAAAAGTTGTTAACATATCTTAATCATCAGTGAGGATCTAGTCATTCTCCCTCAGTTCTTGGAAGATTTTAGTTCTTGGTTCACTATCACCATCTCCAACATAAGTCCTGTCACAATTTTGGATGATTTCAATATCCAACCCAAATGATTCTTCTTTCACTTCCTCTAGTGCCCAAATACCAATAATCCTACAAACCTATCCATCCTTTCATATCACTTTACCCTTGCCTCTAGCCCTCAGTTCCTCATCATCCAGCTTCAATTCCAGTAATAATTTCCTTGCATATATATCTCATCAGTTCCTCATTATCCAGCTTCAATTCCAATAATTTCCTTGCATATATATCTCATCAACTCACTCAATTATGTATGTTCACTTCACTCTCCTCAACGTTTCCCCTAGATAAAACAACCTACCCTGATTAAATCCCACCTTCTGCCTGAGTATCACTGAACTGATCTCACTTCAAACACTTGACCACTTACTTCAGCTAGGCCATTAAGGCTGACTAGCTATCATACGACATTTCTCTAGTCCATTCACTTCCCTAACTTTCCTAAGTAACTATTTCCTACTTTCTTTTCTCTTTTCTAACCTCCAGTATTTCCTCCCCCATTCTTAATCTTAGCTGATGTACTTGCTTAGCATTTCACTGAAAATCAGCAATAATCAAAGATCTTCCACAAACTTCCACCACTTTTCAGTCAGTATCCCCTCCTTTTACAACGGATGATGAAATGTCCATGTTTCTAGTTAAAGCCAGCCTTCCACTTGTGCAGAAGAGCCCACCCTGTCTTGCCTACTCAGTAATTTTCATCCCTTTTCTGTATCACCAATTTTCCCATTTTACTGGATCACACCCATCAACATATAAATATGCTTTAAGTTTTTGTAGGTAAAAACAAAACTCTTGACTCCTTTTCTCCTACCATCAACTACCCCATTTCTTTTAAAGCAAAACTCTACAAGTCTCATCTAGGTCCACTATCTCTGATCCTTCCCTACCCATTCTTTCCTGAGACCATTATGTTTAGGCTTGTTGCAGTTTTTCACACAGGTGGTCAGTCTGCCTTCATGGAAACACTTTTTTCATTTGGCTTCCAGCACACTATAATCACATGGTTTTCCCTTGTTTCACTAGCTGCTACCCTTTGGAGCCACTGAGAATAGATTTAGGTTCCAATGCCCCACTGTTTTTAAACTCTCCAGTAAGGGCAGGGATTCCTCTGCTTGTTGGCAATGCACAATCAGTCTCCACTGTGGGTGTTTTCTTCTCTCCCACACTGCTATGTGCTGGAATGCCCAGGGCTCAGTTTTTTGACCACTCTTCTCCTACATCCATATGTAGTCATGCACCACATAGCAGTGTTTCAGTCAACAATGTACCACATGTACAACAGTAGTCCCATAAATTATAATAAAGCTGAAAAATTCCCATTACCTAATGACGTTGGAGCTGTTGTAACATCACAGCACCAGGCATTACTTGTGTTTATGGTGATGCTGGTGTAAATAAACCTACCGTGCTGCCAAATAATGATAATAAACAACTATATTACTGGTTTATGTATTTACTATAATACTTTTTCTCATTATTTTAGAGTGTATTCCTACTACTTACTAAAAAAAGTGACTGCCTCAGCCAAGTCTTTCAAGAGATAGTCTCAGAAAAAGGATTATTTTAATAGGAGATGAGAACTGAATGCATGTTTATGCACCTGAAGACTTTCCAGTAAGACAAGATGTGGAGGTGTAAGACAGTGGTATTAATAATGTGAGCCTTGGGTAGGCCTAGGCTAATGTGTGTGTTTGTGTCTTGATTTTTAACAAAAAGTTTTAAAGTAAATAAATACAAAGATATAAGGAAAGAAAGTATGTGTACAATGTTTGTGTTTTAAGCTAAGTGTTATTATCTTAAAATAACAGTAGCTTGACTCTTGACAAGAGTCAAGGCATTAAAAAAATTAAAGTTTATAAAGTTAAAGTAAGCTTTAAGTAAGCTGAAGTTATTATTAAAAAAAATATTTTCAAATAAATTTAATGTAGTCTAAATGTATGGTGCTTATAAAGTACCCAGTAGTGTACAGTAACGTCGTACGCCTTTACAATCACTCACCATTCCACTCACTTGCTCACCCAGAGCAAATTCCAGTCCTGCAAGCTCCATTCATGGTAAATGCCCTACAGGTGTACTGTTTTTTTTTGAGTCTCACTCTGTCATCCAGGGTGGAGTGGAGTGGTACGATCTCAGCTCGGCTCACTGCAACCTCCATGGTATAACATTTTTTAATCCTTTGTATTATTTGACTGTACCTTTTCTATGTTTAGATATATAAACACCATTATGTTATAGCTGCATACAGTATTCAGTACAGTAATATGCTGTACAGATTGGTAGCCTAGGAGCAATAGGGTATACCATCTAGGTTTGTGTAAGTACATCCTATGATGACACACAGTGCCAAAAATCACTATTTCTCAGAATACATCCCTGTCATCAAGCAACACATGACTACTTTTTATCCTCAGGTGTACTCTTCCTATAATCCTCCCCATCTCGATTACTGGCAATACTATTTTTTCCTACAACTTAAAAGTCCTTGATTCCTTTTTCTCACACTCTGTATTCAACCTGTCAGCAAATCCCATTGGCTCCATGTTTAAAACATATGTATAGGCTGGGCGGGGTGACTCATGCCTGTAATCCCAACACTTTGAGTGGATCACAAGGTCAGGAGTTTGAGACCAGCCTGGCCAACAAGGCGAAACCCTGTCTCTACTAAAAATACAAAATTAGCCAGGTGTGATGGCACATGCCTGTCATCTCAGCTACTTGGGAGGCTGAGGCAGGAGAACCACTTGAACCCAGAAGGTAGAGGTTGCGGTGAGCCAAGATGGCGCCACTGCACTCCAGCCTGGGCAACAAGAACGAAACTCCATTTCAAAAAAGAGGGGAGGGGAGGGGAGGGGCCAAGCCTACATTTCTTTCACCCAAATTCCCCGAGTGTTAACTTATGACCAAATTTGCTGCAGTGCTCACCCAACTGCTCCTACACACATTATTAGTCTTTTTCCAAAACTTTGGAAAGCAAGCTATAGGCATGAGGTCCTGTCTCCCCTAAATACTACAGTATGGATATCCTAAAACAAGGGTAACTAAATCCCAGTTTCCAAATTCATAAACCAATTGTTGCAACACAGCCATCCAGTTTAAATATTTCATCTAAACGCCAACAGTTTCAGCAGTCTTTTCCATGATGCTATCAAGGAATACAAGTTGCTTCGTTGCCTCATTTTTCAACTGCTCAGACTTTCTCTTTTGTTCACGTCCCTGATGTGTTTTGAAGATTTTATGCCTTACATTCTGTAGGATGACTTTTAACCTGGTGATATTTCCTCCTGATCAGACTTATTTACAGTATTCTTGTCAAGAATACCACACAAATGATGATGTGCCAGGAAATGTAGGATGTTCAACTTGTCCAACCACTGGTGATATTAATCTTGATCTGTAATTCTGCTACTCAATTTCTTAACCTTAAAGTTGAAGAGGTATTCTAAGATTTTACTAATACTCTGTTTCCCATCAATCCTCTACCCAGCATATTTGCAGCCACTGACTAGTCCTCCCAAATTACCTCTATGATAGTAACCAAATGTGCTCCTTTATACCCATTACTCTTTCTACAACCATAACTTTTTGTTTTGTTATCAACTTCTCCCCCAAATACCCTGTTTACTGATTTATATTATTATAAACTCATGTATTCTTATTTAATTCAGTGTGTTATAATTTATTATAGTGACTTATTTTGACCCTCAAATTTGTTTTTAGTTTTCCCAGTGGGAGCCCTTTTACACTGGAATCCTGTTTCCTTTGACATGTCCCCATTATCATCTGAGCATTTCAGTAGTTTTCTGGTATCACATCATGTTCTGGGCACATCTTTTACTTTCCCCCTCTTTTCCTAGTATTTTGAAACCAAGATCTGGAAGAAGTGGGCTCAGTGCTATTGGGATGCAGCACACCAACAATGAATACATATGCACATATAGATGGATACATATACATCTGTAATGATTTCTAGATCTGAGTCCAAGAATAAAAATAAAACTCTAAGTTCATACTTGTACTCTTAATTCCAATCCAATACATCTTTGGGCCCTTCCTAGCCTAACTTCTTTCTAAATACCTTCTCTGGAAACTAGGCTGCCATTACCTTCAATATATTTATTTACTTATTCAATCCATTTACTTATTTACTCAATGTAACCAAGATCCAAATGACACTGGCTAATTCTTCTGAACACCTCTATATTCCTCCCTCCCACTTCACATCTGTGGCTACTGGCTTCATGCCTGCAGTGATTCCCCAACCCTCTCCAATATCCAGTGAGCTCACAGTCACCATGCTGATGCCTCCATGCCAGGAAGAGAAGTCAGTAAGATTCTTGATAGTTTTTATGTTAATATATAGATATACACACACATACACACATTTTATGTATCATGTATATTGATAATTAGCTACCTTGAGGATAGGGACCAAGTCTAAACATGAAGCTTATTTATGTTTCATATACACAATATACATAGCCTGAAAGCAATTTTATACAATATTTTTAACAATTTTGTGCATGAATCCAAGTTGTGTTCAATTCTTATGTGTATAATTTCCCACTTGTGGTATCATGATGGTGCTCAAAAAGTTTTGAATTTTGGAGAATTTCAGATTTCAGTTG